TGCACATGGTTTTATTTTAAAAATTAATTAAATTATTGAAAATATTTTATTTAATTTTTATTTAAATACCATATGAAAACAAAAACCAAACCAAACTCTACTTAACACTTTATAGGATTGAGGGGACCTACATGTTTATTGATATAAACATGAATTAATTCTTTCCAAAAATAGACATGGATACCATCTATTTTGGATCTTTCTTCATGTTAGATATAATTTTTTTTAATTAAAAAGTAATAAAAATTAATTAAAATTACCAAAAATAAGTAATTACGGTTCTAAGATTGATCTTGAATAAGTTTTTAACATCGTTCCAAAAAATTCTTAATCACGAGAAAAAATGTTACGATTGCAATAGAAAGATGGGTTTGATTTTTTGTGGGTGAACGAACAAACGTAACAGTTTATAGAAACAAATAAACTGTCTTTTAGAATGATTATGTTGTCGACAAAAGAACCGACCATACCAAAGGGCCTTTGGCCTAACGGTATGTGAGTCTTTGGCTTCCTAGGAGGTTAGAGGTTCATATCTCACTAAAGGTGAGGAGGGTGTGTGAGTTTATTTGTTCTATTTGTCGTATATAAATATTATATACTTCAAGAAACCAACCATAACTATCTCGTTCCTGAATAAAAATTATGTAAAATGCTATATTATCAGGTTTGAAAGTCAGATAAATGACTGATTCGTTAAAAAGCTGACGAATATATTTTCGTTCTTGAATGAAAAATATGTAAAATATTAAATCAACAATTTTGTATTAAAAATTTATATCGAAAATGAAAACACAAAATAAACCGTTTAGTAGATTAATAATTTGGATTCAGATGAATGATTGATTCATTAAAAGCCGAAAAACAACGAAATTATATCGTATGATCTGTTTGAATTTGAATGACTGATTCATTAAGAACTGAAAAAACCAGTAGTGTGATAAATAGATAACGATAATAATCTGTTATTATATTATGTTTCTGATTTTAAATTAGGTTTAAATACTATTTCTTAATAAAAAAAGAGTAAGTTACGTTTTTCATCCCTGTAGTTTATTAAAATTTGTTGTTTTCGTCCTTGTACTTTTTAACATTATGATTTTTATTTTATGGTTTACAGTTTATTATAGTTTTCTTGGAAGGACGTCGTAGGTTATGCCTAGACTAATCCCAACTAACTGTAACTGCAATAAATCAGTCATGATAAATTCAGTAACCACAATTATTGTGTACGATTGGAATTGAACCCTGAACAGATGAGATATTCCACCACACCATCCAAAGCCCAACCACTACGCTTTAAAACTTATGGTTTAATTCATTATTATTTCCGTTCTTATGATTTACAATTTATTGTTGTTTTCACCCCTGTAGTTTATAACTTTTTACTGTTTTCGTCCCTATGGTTTATAACTGTTTGTTGTTTTCGTTCCTCATACTTAGTGGTAGGAATTAGCTTCAGATTCAAAAGTAGCAATAAATTACAAACCGTCGGAACAAAAAACACAATTTCAAACGTAAGAACGAAAGTCACAATTTTTATGAAACCACATGAACGAAAACGTAAAATGAACATAAAGTTAATTGGGCTAAGATTTGCTTTTCAAGCCCACTTCATTTGGGCCTTATGTATTTTTAATGGGCCTCCTTATTGTTTTGGACTAAAGGCCCAATGGGCTCTTCATATGGGCCATATATATATCCAAAAAGCCGACTAGCCGAGCCAAGCCAAGCTGGTCCTTAATTAGCCATCAAGAAAGAGATGAAACATGGATGCACCTTGATCACATATAATGGGGGTGACGTGGCACATTGTGGATTACTTAATATTAATTAATAATTAAATAATTAATTATGGGTGTTTTGGACTTATTTGATTAACAATGCACATGCAATTTTCCTTTTTATTTAATTATTTAAAAAAAATTAAATTAATAAATGCATGCATGGGGTGAAGCATATAACATGCATTTAGCTTTCCAACAAAGATTTATATAATTAAGTTTAATTATTTTTATTTAAAATATATTATTATTTTTAAACTCAACATGTATTAACTTCAAAATATATATGTATAGATTAATATAGTATCATTTGTATCTATAATTATGAAAAACAACTTTGAAAGTTGTAATGTTTTTTTAATAAAAACCACCACAAACACACACACACACACACACATATATATATAAAAGTTGAGTTCAAATGAGACCAGACTGTTTTCGTGAAACCACTTTTTTACATTTGAAATTGCATAGCAAAATGTTGTGAAGGTAAAAAAAGCCGAACATTCACAGCAAAAACATTGCGAAAGTTACCTTAACATGGTTTTGCTGTGAAATTTCAAGTATAGGAAAGTGGTCTCACGAAAATAGATTGGTCTCACGTGGTTCCAAGTAATACACACACACACACACACACACAGAAAAGAGGTTTACTTTGCAAACCACGTTATTTGTACAAACCGTATAAACCACATTCAACCAATCATAATTTTTCATTTTGGTCATTTTTTTTAATTATGAGAGGTTGATTATTGATTTTATTGTGGAGAATGTTAATCATGGATATTATCATCTTCATTATATTAATTTTAGAGAAATACATGAAACAATTTTATTAAAATTTCATAAGTATTATATGAAACAATTTTATAACCATATATGAAACAACTTTATCAAAAAAAGTATTATATGGAACAATTTCATAAGATTAAATAATTTCATGAAAAAAAATTCATAAGGTTAAACAATGAAATCGACGGATGAGTGTGGTTTGCACAGTTTGTACAAAATAAGGATGGTTTGCATTTGATCGCTCCTCTCTCTCTCCCTCCCTCTCTCTCTCTCTATGTATGTATATATATATATATATATATACACACACACACACACGCAACGTTAGGGAACGCCTTAAACAACACCATAACCCATAAGCCTTAACCTGTCATCACGTCACGCATCACGTAATTTAGAATCTTGTATATATATCATACCTATTTCTTTTATATTGGAAAAACTGTTTGAATATTCAATAAATAATCGAAAAAAATATTGACATTAGTACCAAATTAACTATTTAAAATTTCTCATTTTTTGTGTATTTCTATAATTTATTTTTGGTTTCATAATATAATTTTTTATAAAGATAATAATTAAATATTTTGTTAGAACTCAATGATTATCCTAATCATATTTTAGATCTTTTATATTTAGAATGAGATCCTCTATTTGATTATGTTTATCTGCAGTTAGTTACACGAATTCAAAAATGAAGTTTTAATAACTTGTACTTACGCATAATTTACTTATAATATTGAATTTTAAGTAATATGCATCAATAAACAGTACTTCAAGCATAAAATACGGTTTTTAAGAGTTTTTATCAAATGTTTTATATATAGTATAGATATAAGAAGGTTCAAATGAGAATAACTTTACGAAAACGAGAGAACACTTTTTTACCATAATCAATTACATACGATACTAAATTAGAGACAAGGGTAAAGTAGCCCGCATACCACTGGATCCCTTTACGTGTATTATCATAATTTTATAAAATAAAAGAGTTCTCGTTTGAACCTCCACTTACAAGGGCTTTCATATGAGAACTGACAAAATTGTGATAACATTAAGAACCTGTACATCATGTGCAATTTCATATGCTTTTTTCATTTATAGCTTGGATATAGTGTATTAATCAACATAAATTTGTTTCATAATGTGTACTTTTTGAATTTGTTTTTGAAATAAAAAATACAACCAAAGGTTTCACATTGTGAACCGAATACATATGAAACAAATACATTATGAAACAAATATATGTTAATTAATACATTAAATTCTAGTTTTAGATATAAAAAATCATGTGAAACAATATCTGCGGTAATAGTTCTTATAATTATTACAATATATGAAGTTTTCAAATGATTAATCATATATATATATATATATATATATATAGGGTTGGGTTCACATGAGACCAACCTGTATTCATGAGACCTATGAGATCACTTTTTTATACTTGAAACTTCACAGCAAAACGCTGTGAAAGTAAAAAAAAAGTCGAACCTTCATAGAAAAACACTACGAAGGTTACATTCACAACGTTTTGTTGTGAAGTTCAAGTATAAAAAACATGGTCTCAGTCTATATATATATATATATATATATATATATATATATATA